AAAAAAAAAAAATATAATTTTTAAGTTAGAAAAAAATCTTTATTAATATAAAACAATGTAATACTCATTAAAATTAATAAAAAAATAAATTAATAAAAAATTATTAATAAAAATAATTAATGAAAAGAGAAATTTAATGTTATATATCAAATAAATGAGACCGCAAAAATATTCATCCTTATATAATTTCTTTAATTATAATTATATTACTAAAATATAATAATATGATATTATAATTTACAATTATATTATTAAAATTAATTACTTAAAATCATATATTTAATATTTAATAAAATATTCTTTAGATCTAATATTAAATCTGTTAGATATTGATTTAACTAGTCATTGATTTATCGTCTGAGAATATTTTTTTATTAATTCTATAGTTTTTTTATTTTTTTAAAATACTTTTGTTTAATTTTTATTGATTCTTAGAAAGTATATCTTGATTTTTTTTTTAATTTCTACTTATATTACTTATAAACAGTTGAAAAGTTTACGTGGCAATTATGTGGTTTTTGTAAATAATGCGAGGTATAAGATTCATTCTTTGATTTGAATATAATATGCTTTGGATTGTTTTTATTATTGGAACATAAAATTTTTCTCGATATTCAATTTTTTAACATTTGGTAATAAATTTTGTTTTAGAATATTTAAATATATCCAGAAATTCATGATAATTTCTTTAATATGAAAATTATTAAATTTAATCAATGAAAATAATAATATCTCATATCATTAATGATGAATTTTTGTGTATATAGTACAAAAATTGGTTTTTTCCATTTTTTGTTAGGAACATAAAAAATGTAAATTATTATGTCATTTGTAAAAATAATGTTCTTTTTTTTTAATTTTTTTAGAATATATTAGTATTTTAAAATCTTTTTGATGCTATTTTGTATTGTTTAAATAACAATTTCCTTTTCAAATAAATCCTTGTCAAATAAAAAAAATAATATTTTTTTATGATGAATATTCTATAGTTTTCTTTCGCAACTGATTAAGATAAATTATTAACTGATTATGATAAATTATTTCTAATTGAAAACAAATCCTTTAAAAAACTCATTCTTTTTTTATTTTTCGATCATATTGAAAGCATTCTTTAATGAAAAATTCGTAGGTTTTATAAAAATTTATAATATAATTTCTCGAAGAAAGTATTCGACTATCTTTAAAATATAGATTTTTACAATTTTCGATGTCTCTGTTCTATATGATGTTTCTGCATATATCGATTTTGAATTTTCAGTATATAAAACTGACTGACATGAATTTACAAAATTGTTTAATTTTTCATTATAATCTCAGATAAAAAAAAACAACTTTTATTATTTTTTTCGCTATTTCGATTATTATAATTTTTATAATTACAATTCTTTCAAAATTTTCTTTATACATTTGGAAAATTGATTCTTTTAACTTTATAAAAAGATTCATATTATTTCATCCTATTCTTCCTAAATTTGATCCTATATTTTCTAAAAAAATTATTATATTATTATATTATATATTATAAATTATTATATTTATTATATTTATTTTAGACATTATTATATATATTTTAAGACAAT